TTCAGGCATCATGATAAATCAACATTCCTCAACATATCTCATGATTTCACCCACAAAGAGCTCTTCCTGATTGAAAATTTGTCTTCTTTTGTCCCTGACTGTATGCTGATAATACCAGTAATCTTCCTACTCCCAAGGCTTACACTAGTACCAGCAGTCATAATGTGACAAAAATCATGGCTTTCCATACTTTCAAAAACCACTTCTTGCAAGTGTTGCGGTTACTTTCACTTTGCATTAGGAGCACAGTTCAGGGGGGAAAAACTTTCAGAACTGGAAACCTTCAGCTTTAGTGCCAATTCATCAATAATATTCAATGACTTCTTCCAGATTATTTAAAGATGATTGGTTTTTACAGACAGAGTTCATTTCTGAGGTGGATAAGCAGTGGATGATGTCCAATTCCAAAGGCTCCAATTGATGCTAAAACTGAAAGATTCTGAACCTATCTGCTAAAGCAAAGCAAAGGAATCAGATATTAAGGACAGAATAGCATCTTTCTTTCAGCTTTTCTTTAAAAGTGTTATAAAAACATAGCTGATTTATGAAATTAATTAGTAAGGAAATGCCTGTTACCAAACATTCCTACAGGAAGCATTCAATTTAGCGACCATCCACTAAAATAAAAAACCCAAAACATCCACCAGAGAAGATTGTTTTAAAGCATTCCTTCAGCTTTTTTGAAATTTTGGGGGAGGGGCACCATTTGTTGCAGAGATGCTGATTTCTTAATAGACAAGCAGGATTTTAAGAACAGGCTTAGACAGAAAAACTAGTATGTTCTGCACTCAAGAGCCACAAAGGAGAAAGAAACAAATGGTACCTCTGGACGTGCAGTTGTGCAAAACATTCTCTCTTCACCTTCAAGTGCATAAAAATGCAGAAAAGTAACTAAAGTTAAAGAGAATTGTTGAGATCATTTATGCTTCCTTACACACCTTCAAAGAACATTAATTACCAGTTTTCCCAGGAAAGAAGTAATGGTTATAAACAAATTACATTGGTACTACATAAGATCTGGTACTGCCTACACTACAGTTTTGTGAAAGAGATCCCACACTTCCATTTCTACCGGCTAGTGAGGATGTCACCAGCAGTGAAGCACACAGTCAGGAGATATACAGTGCATTCCATCTATCAAAAAGAGTCCATGGAACAGATTCTGTGCTGGATAAAAATTGATAATTAAAAGAGAATGAAAAGAAGATTAGAAGTAACAGCCTGGGGAAAAAATACAACATGAGAAGATTTTTTTGCTAGTTTTTTGCTGAGGATTTCCCCCAATTTTTCCAATGGAAAAACTGAACATTTCAGGAGACCAGTAGGGGAAAAAACACTGGTAGAACACTTAAAAAAAAAGAATGAAATATAACTAAAACAAGATTCTGTTCACTCAAATTATGTAGTCTGAAGGGTTCATTTCTACAACATATCTCAAAGCATTAGGGAATAAAAGCTCCTATGTGTACTGCAGTACCACACAGGAGCTTTTCAGTGGTGTATGAAGTTATCAAATATTCCATTACTCCTTAGTACCATGACTGAATGATTTGGTTTCTGTCTAATAATAATGGCTGGGGATTTTTTTCTTTTCTGTTTTCCTTTCTACAAGATGTCACATTTTCCTTCCCACATCTCAAATGACAATAAGCAGGAGTTAAACTGACCCTTATTTTCTTTCTTACTCCAAAGTAAGATCACAACCAAGATGGGGAGGGATAGAAGACCCTACTGGAAAAATAGAGCAGCTTTTTAACAAACATATCATAATTAGCAGAGGAGACAAATTTCAGAGAAAGGCTGCTGAATAAAGGTTTAGCCCCATCTTTCTATCCAAAGCTGTCTTCATCTGAACTGGGCTTGCATATATCCACTATGTAGAAAGAGGGACATGAGGCACATCTACACCCTAAGTATTTAACACAACAGCTCAAATTCTACCAGTGTTCATGTCAGGTTTCTGTAAGATGTCATAACTGACTGACAAGGTGCTAGGGCACCTCTTACTTGCGTTTCAGGGCACATAATTAAGATGCACTCCAGTACCTCATCAGTTAGCCACAGAAAGTTATGCAAACGCGACACAAACATCAACAGGATTCTGGTCCATGTGTAGTTTGGCCCTAAGATACAAAAACATGTGTAGAACAGGATGCAGTACTCTGCAGTTCCCTAAAACTGTGTATATTCACGATTTTGTTTGTACAAACAGGGTGGCTGTACAAACAATGATTTGTTTAAAAATATCAGACTTAAATCATAATTTAAATCACAATTAAATTTTTTAATCATTTTTATTCAAGTTTCCTTGCAATTAATAAATAACATAGTTTTATACTCTAAGTTATAACTGGTGCATTTTATGTTGTTAATCCAGTAAAACCTATGCTTTCCAAGGAAATAAGTATTATATCTCAACTTTCTGTAAAATGCCTGATCTATTGCCTCCTCATCTCCAAAATACAGATCAGAAAACTTTTTTCCATGGATTCCAGATATTTTACATTTCTACTTACATTTTAAGACAATGAACAACCATCTGAAATAAAGTCATATCTTTCCCATACATGCTAAATATTGCACTTATCATTTAAACATGGATTAAATATGCTGTATTATAGCTTGCTTTCCTCACTTAAAGTTAAAAAGCAGTTGAACATAATACAATGTAGCTCCATCACACCAAATTATTACTATCAGCCCTACAGCATTAAAACTTCCTTTCCAGTTTTCAGAAGGAACTAGTTTTCCCTAGCAATTATCAGTGAAACTTCTGGACACTAACCTGCAACATAACACCTCTAACTCTATAATCATTTATGGCTCTTGGCTAGAAGCAAGTTAATTTGTTTAATATCCAGTAAGTATACAGAGAGAAACCAGAATACTATTACAGTAATTTTACTATTGTCAGCTTGTCTGCAAGAAGATATTATTCTGTGATACAGAAGACACGTGAGCTGTGTGACTACAGGTTTTAGATTATGCTCCTAGATAGCATAAATATTTTATATTATTGCAAATGAAAATTAATTTTGCTAGCAGTAAACCACTATGAGAAACAGAAACTGAGTTAGATTTCTATAGAGATAGCCATGTTAGTTTGCTTCAGAACATCCAACAAAGAATCTTGCTGTACCTTACAGACTAGGAAGTTTTTGTTTGGTTTTTGCAGCTCAAGAGGACAGGTCCAGAAGCAATGGATTCTAGACAGGAAATTTTGACTAAGTACTGGTTATAACTTTCTACCAGTGAAACCAATTCAAAAGTGGACTCTCCTTCATTGCAGATTTTAAAGAAGAAGGTGGATGACAACCTATCAGGGATGCTTGAGCTGTGGATTTCCTACAGAGGTAGATGGATGGACTTGGATGTGCCTTTGGGTTCCCTTCCAGTTTCACAATTCTGTGATTCGACATGTTTTTCCAAAAGTGCAGCTGATGAAAGTGGGCTTCAGCCCACAAAGACCTGCGCCAAATAAAAGGTGCTGGTTTTTAAGGTGATACAAAAATGTTGTGTTATTCCTCTGTTAAATGGTGAGTTATTGTCTCTCTTCAGTCTACAATCAGGATGACCAGATACAGTTTAGGGGCTGTATTACTGAGTCCAATATATATTTACCCGATATTGCTGTGAAAACAAACGTGAGGAGGTTCACTGGTCTGAAAGTCTTGACATCCATTTCTTCAAGGACATCAGTTTCTAAAAGAAACTTTAGTTGTTGGTCTAAAGTAACTCTCATGAGTCAACCATCTCATGTAATGCACTCATCTCATGTAATGCACATGTAATGCATTATCTCAAGTAAGTCCTCCTGCATCTAATTTTTCCAATATGTTCTTGTACATACAAGTGATGGTCCTGCCGTTTACACAATAATATTCCAGTTTATCCTGACTGGATCTGTTGCTAAGCAGTTCTGTGAAACAAACATAGTGAATACACACCATCCTCTGCTAAATGTGTACAAACAAATTAAAGTAAAATGAAACCTACTGATTTAATATCATCATTCATAATTACTACAGAGCAAAATGATGGTTCTGAGACATACAAATAAAGTTCTTGTGTTCAATTCAAGCCAATGAAACATCAAAATCTGAGGCAATTGTCTTGCATGTCAAAGAAAAAGTTCTATGCAATTAGATCTTGGATAGGATACTAAGTGTTAATGAGAACAAAACTATCAATATGCATGTGATCAGCATGGGAGGGGGGGGCAGGAAGCACAGGCCTATGGAAAAGCATCACAATCTGTAGAAGTTTAGAGACCTGTTGGATCAGGCCTTCGTTCCGTCACTGTAGTAACTTTAGGCAATTTAATGTTTACATCTTACGTAGCTTCTCATTTAAGAGCGTGGATGGAAGTTATACACTCATGAGCCAGAAAAACGGGAAGAAAAGAGAAATTTCTAAGTGCAGCCAGGCGCTGTTTGTTTCCAAAGAGTAGGCTTAGAGTATTTACCTCGAACATTACATTCACTTTGAACTTCAATTATTCCTGACAACGACCATGACCTGGCAAACCACAACACTCCCCAGTTCTAGAATTTGCACGCATGCTACGTCTGGGTGACAAGAGACGACACAAAACAAAAGAGACAGACAGCAGGGCCAAGGTAAAAGTCCCAGCTCTCCTTTGAAACAAAACCTTGGCTTGGAAACCTTTCGCCCTGCAGATCTAAAGCAATAAAGTGCCCCTGGCACAGATGGCTGGAAGGCTACAATCAGGACGACTAAAAGGGCTTGTTGTCACGATTTTCCCTCCCGCCTCGTTACGAAGGGCAAGCCAAGAAGTGTAGGATGGTGGGGAAGGGGGAAAAAAACACACCAACCTTTTCCAAGAAGCAAGTCGGAGAAAAACACAGGCTGCTTTGTCTCTCTCTCTCTCTCTCTCTGCCCCCCCCAATATACAGTAAATAGACAGCTTAGGGACAAAGAGACAGCAGGGGAAATTGACCAGGCGAGGGGGGTTTAGTGTGTGTGTGTGTGGTACCTACCACAACAGGAGACGACCAGGAGCAAGAGCTGCGCTGACCTCCAAGCAAGGGACCCTTTTGTGCTCCAGCAAGAGGCCATAACACCGCCTCGGGGGGAGGAGGAGAAAGAAAGAGCTGGAACTGCCGTCGCCGAGCCCCCACAGCCACCAGCTCCCGCCGCGGGAGGGCCTAGGCGTCGCCTCAACCGGCGAAGACTCAGCAGCCAGAAACCCCCCCGCGCGCCCCCGCTCTTTTCTCCTCAGCCCCCCGCGGCTCGGGTAGCCATGAGTTGTTGTTACTGCTGCTGCTGCTGCTACCGCCGGCTTCGAACTCCTCGTCTGTCTCGGGCAGCAGACGCCTCCGGCGGGCAGGAGGAGCTCCGCCGGCGCAGCTGCGCATTAGAACGCCGAGCCACTTTTTGCAGAAAGCGGCCCTTTTTTTTTCGGGGTGGGGAAGCCGGCCTTTCACGGAGCAGCAGCAGCAGGAGGAGGAGGAGGAGACTCCAGTTGGCGGCTGGTTATGAACTCCCGCGAAGTTTCCTCTCATGATCTTTTTTCCGAGGGATGCTGGCTGCGAATGGTGACTCCCCCCCCCCAAAGAAACAAAAGGAGCGCGTTTGTTCCCCCGTCGTCCGAATATAGTCACGGGGACTGCGTCCCTGTTAATTATTGCATCGAGGATGGCAGAAGGGCAACGGGATCCGTGTGCGTCTTGACTTGGAAACCTCAATTTCTAGGTCCTTATCGGGACTGGAGCTCTGCTTTATGCATTCTGATGGTTTACTCGAAAGCACACCCCCTTTTTTTTCTAACGAGGCTTATGAGTGAGAGCAGACTGCACTGAACAGTTTGTGATTTACTTTCAGGTAAACATGCTGTAGGGTTGTCACATCCTTCTAATATGAACGGGGTGGAAACCTTTTGAGTGAGGATTTGGTATGATCCCAGTATAAATAAATGAATGAATAAATAAATAAATAAATAAACAAACAAACAAACAGTTCTTATGCTCTTTTCAGGTACTGAAAAAAGTGTTTGTGTGTGACACACATCCCTTTTCCATGTTGCTTTGCCATGGAACATGTATCTACTACCACTTCTGTTATTTTGTGAAATGTGACTGTTTATTACCTAACCTCTGTCATTTACTCTTCTGGTTACATATGTTACTTATGGTGTGTAGAATTGGGTAGACTGGGGGCACAGGAAATAAATTCTGCAATATTTTTAAGGTGCCCTCCTTGCTCCTGTTCTTTACAACCTCCAATTTTACTTTTTTTAAAAAAATAAGCTTGTGAGGGTGCCAGGGAGGGGGATTCGTTTTTAGAAATGCATACATTTTTGTAAGAACATTTTTGGAAAGTTTGAGGTCATGGGAGTGGATGCATTCCTCCAAGGTCCAAATTTAGTGGCAAAATACATTTCAGGCCCTCTCTAAAAAACAAACTTTTATTTTTTTTCCTTCCTTTTCATTGAAAAGCAAGAAGAAAGTTTCAGCTTTCCAGGGTTGTGAAGTAGCTTAAGTAAACAGCTTAACCCATCCACTTTGGTTCAGTCTTGGTGATCACACATAGTGGGACCAAATCAAAAGGGAGTGATCCTATCTGCATGCACACATACACACAGCCCTTGACAGGGATCCACAAAGTGGGGTTAGGCATTGATCAGGGGCAGGCTGGTTTGTGATGGCCTGTACATAATGCGGTCCCCAGAAAAAAGAGTGAACTGGTTCGTCCCCAAACTGGAACAAACTAGTCGTATCCTCAGACAATTTTCCATAGCACCTACCTGTACAAGAATCATTGCTCTGAACATTTTAGAGGGATGTTTCTTTTTGTAATAATTAGTTTCAGATTATTACTTCAGTGTGTCACATAGCTTTTCATGTTCCCACAAGTCAGTCTCATCTTCCATTAATCCACGCACACTGGCCTAATTATTTGTATAGATACAGTGGGATGTGTTAATGATGGATTTCCAGCTAAATGTTGTTAAGGAACATGAGACTGTCAGAGGTCTATATTGGTGGTCCCATGATATCTTCACACCCTATGGCTGAAATCCAGTACTGTATTAAGTCACAACTAGAGTAGATCCATTGAATCAATGGAACTTACAGAGCAACTGACTCATGAAATGTGTGATGATTCAGTAGGCCTATGGGGTTGTGGCTTCCTGCTGAATTTCAGATACATATACAGTACTGTGTTGCTTAAACACGGAGTGGAAGAGTAACTATGTCAATCATTCCCTCTGCTCTGGGAGGTTCCTTGTTGCAGGGCCAGTTCCATAACCAATTGTGCAACCAGTGGAAGAACATGTGATGGGGAACTTGCCAAAGCAAGTGGAAACAGTTGTTTGCTTCCCTTCCACTTCCTGTTGATGGAAAATGATACTATCCAGAGTCTCTTGCAACTGAAGTACTATTCTCCTTTTCATAATTCTTTTCGTCTGCTTGATTCATTGCCTCACCTGTTATACCCGTGTTTTCATTATTTATAGCATCAGCCCCACCTGCTTATTTTAAGTAGCATTTAAATCTTTGAATTATGCCTTTCTTCCGCTCTGTTTTCTTTTGCCCCTTCTTCATATTCACTTTCTTGGGCTCCATGATCACTGCAGATGGAGACAGCAGCCACGAAATTAAGAGATGCCTGCTTCTTGGGAGGAAAGCAATGACAAACCTTGACAGCATCTTAAAAAGCAGAGACATCGCCTTGCCAACAAAAGTCCGCATAGTCAAAGCTATGGTTTTCCCTGTAGTGATGTATGGGAGTGAGAGCTGGACCATAAAGAAAGCTGACCGCCAAAGAATTGATACTTTTGAATTGTGGTGCTAGAGGAGGCTCTTGAGAGAACCCTGGACTGCAAGGAGAACAAACCTATCAATTCTAAAGGAAATCAACCCTGAGTGCTCACTGGAAGGATCCTGAAGCTGAGGCTCCAATACTTTGGCCATCTCATGAGAAGAGAAGACTCCTTGGAAAAGACCCTGATGTTAGGAAAGTGTGAGGGCAAGAGGGGAAGGGGACGACAGAGGATGCGATGGCTGGACAGTGTCATCGAAGCAACCAACATGAATTTGACACAACTCCGGGAGGCACTTCCTCTGGGAGGAAAATAGGAAGGCCTGGCGTGCTCTGGTCCATGGGGTCACGAAGAGTCGGACACGACTAAACAACAACGACATATTCACTATATTCATCGTGAAGTTTTAAACCCAAAGTTAATCCTGTTCCCATCTTCCTTCTTTACGTTATATTTTTTGAATTAATTATCATATAGTCATGTCTCCTTGTTGTAGTTGTTAGATGCTGTCAAGTCGCCTCTCATTTATGGTGACCATATGAATGAGCGATCTCCAAAAGGGCCTATCCTCAACAGCTTTGCTCAAGGCTGAATTTCCTTTAGAAAGTCAATCCATCTTGTATATGGTCTTGTTCTTTTCCTGCTGCCTTCACACTTTCCCAGCTTTATAGTCTTTTCTAGAGAATTGTGCCTTCTCATTTTGTGCGAAAGTATGAGAGCCTTGGTTTCATCATTTACACTCTCACCGTTGCAACAATCCTTTCATCCTGTCTTGCTGCCGTCCCTTTAGTTCATGTAATCTGTACATTACTTTGATTCAGGTAATTTTTGAGGTGCAAGTGAGGGACAAGGTCTTTATTCTTATTCTTGTACAACATCTAGGTGCCTTGAATGCTATTAAACATTGTTATTGTTATTATGATTGGACATTGAAGGACTCTTCATTTCTATGGTGACAAAATACGTGCAGTAAATATCTTACCTTGTTTCTATGGGAATTATGGTGGAAATTGTCACATAGTATTAAACAATTAAGACAAAATAGAAAGGATTCAAAAGTGGGGAGATTCTGCAATGTATATTTCTTCAGTAGTTTGCAATATTTGCACTCCTTGTGTCTGAAGAAACGGATCTGATCCACAAAAGCCCACATTGAAAGAAATCTATTAGTCTTTTAAGTGCCACAATAGCTTGCCTTCTTTTACTCCCTCCCCTGTTTTTCCCTCTTTAATTTTGTCAACATACAATATACAACACTTGCATTTCTGAGGTCCCACTCCCCCTATTTCTGTGCCACCACAAGATAAATATATTTGTAGTATAATGGACAAATTGCATGTTCCTATTGAAGTGATTTACCTGTATTCAGTAGGTGTCTTTATATTCACAGTTCCAAAGGTAAGCAAAACAGTTAGAATATACAACATGCCACAGTGTCATGAGGGGAAGGGAGGAGAGGCTGGACGCAAGAACAATCCTAATGCTGCAGATATCTATCTATCTATCTGTCTGTCTGTCTGTCTGTCTGTCTGTCTGTCTGTCTGTCTGTCTGTCTGTCTGTCTGTCTGTCTGTCTGTTTCAATTTGATATCTTTTTAATAAGATAAATTTAGAAAATACATATGTATGTTCATGACTGGAATTGGTTCCTTGTTTGTCAGTTACTAAATCCAAAAAATGAAGTTGTATGCCAGATTTTCCATCTGTGTCTGAAAATTTTCTTCTACAGATCAGCAGTAATTCTTGTTTTGCATCAGCATATGTGAATCAAAACAAAATGTAACTCATTATCCTGATAACTTCCAAATAAGCAGATACAATTGGCTGTTGAAACAAATGATAGAGATGCTGTTTCATATGTCTGCACTTTTTATGTTGCTGGTATATGATATTGCCACCTCTGACCAGAATTATTCTGCTTCTCAATAGTTTTTTTGGAATGATGCAGCTGGAAGCAGATCTCTTCATACTCAAGGGTGCTTACTACTGCCTAAACATATAAAGAGTTACACTATCACACAAAATCCTTCCTTTCTTCAAAACAATTTATTGGCTGCATGCTACTTGTGTTGTAATGGTTTTGCTGCTATGATACAGAACATGTCTATGGTTTACTTGTCTATTTCTTAACTTTTTTTAAAAAATGTACAGAATGTAATTCTTATTGTGTCATTTCGTATTTATATCAATAACAACCTGAAATGTATAAACTCATTGGTCTTACAGCAAAATCATTTCACTATAGATTTTAGGGATTCTGTATGTAATAGAAATATAACCATGTGGTCCCAAGAGCTGGTTAGCCTCATGTAAGAAGCCTTCATTACTCAGGTGTAAGATGGCCACATGAAAAAGCAAGGAGAGTTTCAGTACAATTTAAACTTGTGTGGAACAGGGAATTTCAACAGGTGTGGTCACGTAATCATGGGAATGCCTGATTAGAAAAAAAATGTATGAATATGAGCTCACTATAAGGTATCTTCAGATATAAATGAATTTCCTCTATTTTAATTTGATTTCAATTCCTCTGTTGTTAAATCAGGTGTCCCAAAGAATTCAAATTTTATCTAAGCAAATCATTTTTTTATTTTTTAATGACAAGATTGGCATACCACTTTTTTCATCATATATGAAATCTCTCATATCTTAACAATCTGATAATAAAGTAATTTTCAGGAATTCATTTTCCTTCAAGATAAATGAGTCAATAAATCTGTTAAGTTAAACTTTTTGTTGTTGTTTAGTTATTTAGTCATGTCTGACCACCCCTCGTGACCCCATGGACCAGAGCACGCCAGGCCCTCCTGTCTTCCACTGCCTCCCGGAGTTGGGTCAAATTCATGTTGGTAGCTTTAATGACACTGTCCAACC